CTAAGGTTCATTTTAGGGTTTGGGTTAAGGTTATTTTTGAGTGAATGTCCAGAGCTAAATTTGATTGCATATGGGGAACATCTGACAAAGAAATCCATGAGCAGACTTTAATATTCTCCTAAGAAGAGCACTGAATCTTTGCATGAAGCATTGTCTTTGGCACATGCATCAGCCAAGCATTTGTGTTAGAGCTAGAGGGGGTTTAGAAACAAAAGGAACACAGAGATGAAGTTGTAGTGGGGCTACAACATACCCTCCACTGTTAAGAGCTGATGCTACAACTGGAGAATTGCATAATATTTATCTAAGCATACTTCTGAATGGGAAGGCTTTTCTCCCAGGCTAGGCTTAAGGTACACAGTTAAGTTTATGTTTGTTGAGGAAAAGAAGCAACCCAGACATTCAGGAGGACAAGGTCTGGAAAGAGGATACCAAAGGAAAATGGGAGTTCCGGAAAATACATTTGTGGCTGATTTTCAGTACAGATAAAGTTCATCTGGTCTTTTGTGACACTCCGCTGAGTCGTAGGATTTGGAATTAAGGCTTTGGTTGCTGTTGTGAGAAAGAGAAATCCAAGAATGATACTTCAGGAGCAACTTTTAAAGTTAAGACTAATGTTGAAATTCTTTTCTTAGGAATATTGATTGGTTTTGCTTGGAGTACTAGCCCTATCCTCAGGATCAGACTAAGGCTTGGGCTGAGAGAAAGATATTTCAGAAGTGCACTTGCAGGGGAACTGGAAATGGACTGATGAAAGAAACTGAAATTCTCCCATGAGGAACTTCTAGTCATGACTGTGCTGGCATGCTTTCTTCTGAGGCTTACCTTGCATTAGGGTTTGTGTTGAAACAGAATAATGTGTTTGAACATGTAAGAGGTTCCCATGTGTAGATTTTTACTAGCCTTGTGCAAAGTAATGATGCATTCATGTGCTTGCATGATATCATCTTTGTGTTAATCACAAACTCGCAGACTAGGCATACAGTCACTTAGGTTAAGTGCAAAAAGTATGGAGGAGAAAGTTACAAGGTCCTTTCTAAAGGAAGGGACACTTTTTTCTCCCCGTTTCTAACATACAGCAGCAAATACTTTCAACTTTTCATGTCATTATTTTGATAGTGAAAAACATACACATTCTTGTTTTTTGTAATCCTGTTTTCTTGACCCTCTGTTGCATTATATGCATGCCCACACACACACAAGTCTGCTCCAGGATTTTCTATTGAGACCTGCAACAACTAAAAGCCTTAGAATCACTATTAGTGGTTAGAAGCAACTGAATGTTCAGTTCAGTAACTTTCAAGGAAATAAAAAAAAAATACATATAATTATTCTACATAATTATTTAATTGTGCAATTTCACTCATGCTCACCATTTAATTTTAATCACATTTAATCATAGAATCCCAGGTTACAGTACCTATGTTTATGTGTGCTGTATGATACAGCAAAGCATTAAACCAACAACCTTAAACTGTAAATGTAGTACACATGAGATAGCTTATATTTCAGAGAACATAAATACAACTTTTTTGGTGCTTCTGGCTGCATGGATAAGCTTCCATAAACAGACTGCGGATGGCTGAGCAATGTTAGCCTGAGCATGTCTATTTCGGCAGCCTTTTGTAATAAAAAACCTCCTTTCTCAGGGAGAGGCTTATGCCTTAGGTTCTCTTTAGTAAGAACCAGAACCTAATTTTCATAACTTGAGGGAACTCAGATTGTGGGGGTTTTAGTTTCGCTCACTGACAGCAACAAAAACCCACATACAAATATGACCACACAGGTTACTGCATTCATACTACGACTTGATTTCTTGTCTAGGTATGAGCAAAACAGTGTAAGCAGAATAAGGAGCCTCTCTGAAAGGCTCTGACATATTAAGAATGGTTATAGCAGTAATGGTTATAGGAATAATCCTAACAGCATTGCACTGAGAGCTTATATTTGCCTTTGGACTACTTCCCATGAAGCTGACCCAGTTTATGCCTATGTTGCCTACTGCTTCCTTGAGCATAGCATCCACTTAGCAAGTCAGCATTCAGACCACTGTTTTGCATTCCGCATCAGGCATCACTTGAAATCCTCTTCCACCTTCCGCATGACAATTTTTACAACCTGAAAGCAGATTTTGAGTAAAGTGTATGAGCTTGTTACTTCTCAAATGACTGTTATTAACCTGCCCATTTCACCTTTTTTCATTATTTAAATATATGTATATGTGTATACAAAATATTTAACATCCTTCTATTCAATACTGTATATATTCAAATGGAAGAATAATGTGTATGTGCTGTGCTCCATGTACAAAATAAATCATATAAAATTGCACAGCCTCACTGGACATACCATTAATGATTACAGTGAAGATGTTACAGAACAAGAAAACATGACACTGCAGCATTCAGCTATGTGATATTGAAAAGTTCCTCAGATTGTTTGCTTATTACCTGGAGCATAAAGACTGAGCAAACATATGTATGTGGTACATTTCGTTGTTCTTCCTGCATACAAATCCTGTGGATTCTAGTCTGTAAATCTATGCATACCCAGCTATGTGCTAATCACAGAAGCAAAAGTATCACAACAGAAACTCTAAACAGATGCTAACAGCTGGGAAAAAAAGTATCTGTGCTATTTTCAAGCTCTTGCCTGATTGGTATTAATGAAATCAGAGCTATCACCTGAGACATATGAATTTTTAATAATAAAAATGAAATTTATCAGATAATATATTTCATGTTTTATAGGTTACAGAGAGTAACTTTCTCTTTACATAGATGTGGAGGTAGATGAGCAGGAGTGTTAGCTGAGGGTAATCAGAGTTTAAGAGACTGTTCATGTACCAGCCTCACTTCTCACTGCCCATTCTGGGACACCAAGCAAGTAAATTTAATCCTCTGTTTTGATTCATGTCGCCCTGTGTGTGCGAATGTATATGTGTGGATAAGGATTTGGTCTACATTTCTTTTCCTTTTTATTCTTGCTTTCCTGAGTGCCAGTAGTGCTGTGTAGTACTGTAGCACCAGACTGTAACATCAGATTACAACAGCAGAACTATTTGGGGGCTGTGCTCATTGCACCCTGGAATCCAGTTGTGCAGGCCTAAGGCAGTATCTGTACAAATGCTCTAAAGAAGCAATTTAATTACTACACTGTACCACTGGAAACAGCCTAAAAGGAAATTCACCCAGGTAGTGAGAGTGGTCATACTTATACTATATCAGGGCACAGGCTTGTCCATACGTTTGCTGTTTGGCAACAGGGCTATCACTAGAGCTGTAGCTGCTGGATTAAAAGAGATGTAGTAAGACCCAAATTCTGTTATGGGCAAAGAGCAACATATCATATAAACAAAGCTAAGAATGTATTTTTATTCCAGTTAAAGTTTTAGTAGTCTAGCAGTCTGAATTAAAAAATTAATTGTAATGGCCCTCAGTACATTAACAGGTTTTAATTGCTTTGGCCTCCACCTGTGCCCATTGGTCCAGGAACTACAGTTAAGCTCCTTGCCTGAATTATGCTATAGGTATGTTTGTGCTTAGTTCTGTTCCTGGCTTCTTTTGGCTGGCTACTTTGCATATCTCAGATCATCAGTAGACTGTAAATAGCATTTCTAATTGTACCCATCCTTATCCTTCTCAGGCCTATGCCTCTAGATCTTTGCACCGTTGCTTCTCACTTGTTTTCTGTTGTGAGGCAGCCCCATTCTTGTTATTTCCTGATTGTACTACATCAGTATTTTTCGTCATAGATGTAAAATAATTTTTGGAGTAATACATGTCTAATATGTAACCCTTTTTCTCTGCTGTTATGCCCACCCTTCTGATGTTATTCCAGATCATAGAGAAGAGTGAGTGAGTGACTGGATAAGGGCTCAGCTGCTGGCTGGGTTCAAGCCACCCCAGGCAGAAAGGGAAGGTCACATAAACAAGCACACAATTCATTGCTACTGCTCTAGTTTCACCGTGTGTCTTTAAAAATGTTTCTGGGGTTTTGTTGTTTTTTGTTTGTTTTTGTTTTTTTTTTTTTTTGTAGCTGCTGGTACATGAGAACACTTTTTACTAGTCAGACTTGGTTCTACACCAAATTAGCCAGATACATGGTGATAGCTAGGAAGAAATTGAGACTTTCTTCCTACCCCAGAAAAAGCTTTGCATACTGGAAGGAAAGAATAAGTATGGAACGAGATCTGTTTGTGTAGTGCCAAATCAGCTTACGCCTTTACATACTCCCTACGGCTCTTTCTTAGAGGAGATAATAATCTGCCCAATCTGACATCAGGACGTGACTGTTAGCATAGACTGTGCATGATCATCCTTCACTTCCAGTACATTTAAACAGGGACAGCTAGAAAAGCCCCTGATTATTTGTTTTTGTGTTGGAAAATACTTGCTTTGTACAATGAACGTGGCAAAGCACTGGAACAGGTAGCCCAGAGAGGTGGTGGATGCGTCATCCCTGGAGACATTCAAGGCCAGGCTGGATGTGCTTCTGGGCAACCTGATCTTTGAAGTTGTCCCTGCTCATTGCAGGAGGTTGGACTAGATGACTCTTAAAGCTCCCTTCCAACCCAAACTATTCCATGATTCTATATGCCCCCAGCCTTTTACAATCCTGACAAGGCATAAAGAGCTGCTGAAGAGCCAAGGCACAGAGATGTCATTTTCTGTGACAGCAGTAAAAATACACATTTCTATCCAAGCGTTGTCCATTCTGTTTCAGACTAGGATGGTTTAATGTCCTGTGCTGCTCTCTGTCATCTGTGACTCATGTAAAAGAGGCTGCTCTGAACTGCCATGAAAGATCTGTTAACATGCCACTAAGAGCTCTTCCAACATTTGTACGTTAAGTACATTACTAGGTTTTATAGGACGAAAATAAAGAGTAAGAAGAGCAAAGAATAAGTGCTTTTAAGGAAGACTTGTATACAATGGTTATCGATTGAGACATGCTTCAAATCACTAGTTTAGCACAGACATCTAATATTCACTCACAGATGCTGCCACCTAGAGTCCAACATTATGACATTATGGAAACAGAATACCTTTCAAGCAAAATGACTGTATTTGTGTGGTCATTTTAAAAAGTAGGGGAAGGTGGAGGTGTTGGTTTCAGGTGAGTATATAGCAGGAAAAGGTGAAAGAGCCAATAAGCAGGCAGCAGGTAGTCTTAATATTGAATTTTATAATGTCTTCCTTACAAAATCTGTAATGGGCAAAAGCAGATATTACACCGAAAGGTGGAATGGTGGAACTTAGCATAGGAAAGCAAGTAGGAGAAGCTATTCTGTACACTTATCAGAATACATTAAAAACATATTTATTTCCAGTTCAGTTTTTAGGTCTGCAAAATAATGGTCAGCAGACTAGGAGATGTTCTAGTTGAGCAGCCTTGCCTTCAGTTTTAATGAAATAGCCTGCCAGTTTTCAAGAAAGACTTAAAGAAAGTATATTTAAGCTTCTCTCTCCACCAGTAGAATACCACAGAAGATAAAATATCCCCATAGGTAGCCTGACTGGAAACCCAAGGCAGTCTGGAAAATGAGCTGTCCTGCTATGCTTTAGAAATTGCAAACAGCAGCAACCCAGTTTCTCAGCTAACCTGAGGGAGCTGGCAGCATTTGCTACAAGATGCCTAATTCAGTGCCTGGACTGTCACACTGTGTGTAATTTGTTTAGAAATGAGCTATGAACGCAGATCTCAATTTGCACAACAGGCTATGGTTTGATTAAATGTGTCCAGATGCATTTGTAATGGGATTGCAGATTTCAATTAGCAACTGTCATTGCAAGGTAATAGTTTTTCATGCATGTTATAATACGCTGAATTGGGGCAAGAAATAGAATATGATGGAAAAGTCTCCCATTTCTTTTTACTCTCTACGACACTGTTACTGCTTCTTCACATTCATGCAGTGTTTCCTTCCAACTTAGCCTTATCATTCTTTCCTTTCCCTTTGCTGGCCTGCTGTCAAAGTGATGGTTTCTAGTTCCACTGAGCTCTGAACGTGGTCATGCTCCCAGAAATAAATAGTCTGATCTGCAATTCCTCTGCCTGCTAGTGAATGACGGTGAATAGATCTTTACTATATTTGCTGAGCCAGGAGGCCTAAGCTGGTTCTTTCCATGCTGTTGGTATGGGTATTTCTCGACTGAACTAGCTACCACTCCCTTAACTTGGTTTGTGTCTATACTGTGTGGTGGGGAACAGGTTTGATAAGACAGTGTCTGTTCACTGAGCCATCCTCACAGCTGGTGGTAGCTGAAGATGAGCCAGCTCCTAGTGCTTCTTGCTCAACATGTCATTAAGCATCACTTACACCTCCTCTGTCAGACTACATCTAGAAGAGTAATTTCACAGAACCATGCACACGAGGATTCTCTCTTCTCCAGGAAGCCAGGCTTGGACTGATTTGGTCCCTTAGTGTAAAACTGAGGGTTTACAGCATGGGTAGTGGTCAGCTCTCTTGTAATGAGTGGACTCAAACTTCTGTTGCCTATACTAGAGACAGACTACTGCCACAGAGATTTGCCAAAGTACAACCTGAAAACATGCAGCTAAATTTTCTTTCAACAAAACAACACTAGAAAGGGTGTTAACAGTGCTGGACTGTGCTTGGATCTGTGCCTTGGTTTTGAGTAGGTTTGTGTCCTCAGACAGCAGTAACTTAAGACAGTGGTCAAAGTAGGTATGCAGCTGTTTCTGAATAGGATGCTGGTCCTTTGGTAAAAACATCTGTCAACTGTGGGTTAAGTGGCCTGATTTTTCCTGTGAAAAAAATAGCAATGCTGAATGGAGAAGGAGCGAACAAGGCAAAGCAGCTTATTCTGCCTGCTTCCTTACAGGAGCTTTGTAAACAACCATTACTGATACAAATAATAATCATTTGTGACAGGCAAGAGTAAGTTTCTAACAAATGCTTTGCACACCTGCTGTCAGGAAATCCATTCAGTCCATACAATATTCTCCAGTGGTTGCAAGGAAGGTGTTTATGTTAGTAAAGTGTCAACAATTCACCTAATACTTTCTTGTGGGAACTGGGTGAAGATGGGTTGTCAGAAATAGCAGCTATTCCTTTATCTTACTCTATTCCTCCCAATCTCTTAAAAAATTAAAACACTTTAAGAGTACTAAATGCAATAAATCATACAGGCGGATATATAAAAATGTATATATATAACTAAACTCCTAATAAAACCGATATTGCCACCGCCATTTCAGAGAGCCGCATCCCACTTTGAAGGGTATATAAACCCTGAAATGCAACAGATGTGTCTGCTCAGTTATGTCACTTACCTGAAGCACTCTTCTCCTCACGACCCGTTGGCTAGCAGATAGCTGTATAATTTGCTTCCTTAAAGTCTATAAATGCCCACAAGGAACTTTAAAGGACATGTCAAGAAGTCGTCTTTCGCAGACTCTTTATTCCACATAATATGCACCCCAGAGAATGGAGAGGAGACAAACTGACTAAAAAGAAGTTTGACTGGGCAATGATTAATGCACATATCTGGTAGAGGAGTTTTTTTCCTCATCTATCATTGTGATGTTTATTATCATTTAGAAATCTGGCCTGTTCATGGCATAATCAGTGGATGTATTGAACATGCTCAGACTACTCCAACCTACAGAACCAGTCTGCATCAGTTTGCACTGTACTGGAAAACTCCGTTTGCATACACTGCCAATACACTGGCATAAACAGCATGGAAATGACTCACAGGCAATGCACGAGTTATATTTTTGCCAAATGGGGCAATGGATTGGCAATTTTGTTGCATCTGCCATGATATTCAGGCCAGCTTTCTCTTCTGCAAAGGAAAGCAAACAGTTTTCCAGACCAGATGAATTTAAAAGGAAATATGACAAATTCTGCCCATTCATTCCATTCACATTTCTGTTCAATAGTTACAGTATGTTCATCATTATTTTATTTATTTCCTATAGAGTAGGGTAAGATCTGGTGCCTCTTTGTATCACTCTTCTGGTTAGCTATTAGCAAATCACGGAACAAAGCAGATTACTAAGATCAAACCCCTATTCTACAAGAACAGCATAAAAATATGTAGTTGCTTAGCCTGGACTGATCACTAGTCTCTTGCTTCTCCTTTATTTACTGGAGTCCCTAGTCTGAGTGTACATTTCATTCTTTGAAATGTACAGAAAAACTTTGGAGAAAAAGTTTAGAGTATGGATAAAGAAATGGAAAGAAGGACAAGAGAAAGTGAGACACACAGGAAATGTTTCCAAAGCCTCACAGCATATTCACATGAAGAATTATCATTAACAGGAAGGAACTAACTATATCCCAGAGACATCTCTGACTACTTCAGCAAATGAGAGAATAGGACGACAAACTGCTGATGAGTTGCAGTCACATGAGATCAACTTATCCTGAAAACCAACCATAGGGGGAAAAGTTTTAAAAGATATAAGCGTGTTTCCGAAAAGCACCCACCTGAATGCTGTTTTCCAAGATCACAAAGCACATGATGTACTTTAGATATGATTGTCAGAGGCCATAAGCAAACCAAGTTTTAGTTAAATATAAGCTTATTAGACCAGATAATATCACTGAAGGCATTTCCTTCAGAGGGTATTGCCCTTATGTCTGAAATTGAAACCTGACCTGCAGATCCTCCATTCTGTCCAACCTGCTAAATTGCCTCTAGGCCTCTCTGCATGCTGCTGACTACTCATGGAAACCCTTCAGGAGAGGGACGTCAAAGACTCACAGATCAGAAGCAAGCCTGAGTGTCTGATATACAGTGTGGCCAACAAGTTCAGAGCAACTCAAGCAACCAGCAGACAAAGAATGCCTTAAATGGCCTTTGTGATGTTTCTATTCAATTTAAGCTAAGCTGTTTAACGTAGCATTGACACACCATCAGGGAAAGATGAGAGACAGTGGAGCAAATGGAAGAGCTCTGAAAGAGACTGCTCATACACTCTCCTTCCTCTTCATCCTCTCATCAGCATCCCAAACTCATATTTCCTATGCTTTCAATTTACATTGCAATACTATTTATAACAGATGCTCTTGCATAGTGTTCATAAAAGATCTCCATATTCAATCGTTTTCTCCAGAGTTAAAACTAAGAAATAGGGAAGCACAAATATGATGGAATTCACACAATGATAGGCTTAACGTGTAAAATCCAAAAGGTAGCTGCCTTGGAGAATTAAATGCCAGCAGACATGAGTAGTGGTAAATTCTTTTCACAACATGCAGACAGGCTTTAATGCTTTAAATTGGAGTACATTCAGTGTTAAATGAGGGGTTTGTGGGGGTTAGCTTTGGGGAGATTGGGTGACTTATGTTTGCTTAGAGAAAAATAAAGTATTTCTAAGATTGTGTACTGGAAGAAATATTTATTTTTCTTCATTGTACAGGACCAGAAAAGAGAGTACCAGGTCTGTGTTCCCAGTAACTCATCTGCTTCCACTGTGCAATGCCAGTGTTGCTACATTCCATGTGGCAGTATAATGAAGTTCGTTAAAAACTCAGCCCATATTTCTTTCAGCACATCATTTTTTAGCACTGCTCTAGATAATGGTTTTGATCTGTAATTCCTGCATGGTTAAAAGCAATTGCTGTTCTCATACTTTTCACCAGCAGCTGAAATCTGCTAAGCTAATAGCCACTGTGGTGTGTTTGCCTGGATGCACGGCAGGGGTTTTTCAGCAGCTAGCCTATGGAACTTACTCATGATTCAATGAAGCTGAAAGACGTCTGACTTTCAGCTAACAGGCAGAGGCAAGGAGCATTTTTCATGGGATTGGAAGGCAATTTCAGTGAGATTACCGGCATACAAAAGAAAACAGCCTTGTTTTCTTCAAAAAGATAATTAATATGTTATACAAGGACATTTCATGGCCATATACTCCTTCTGTCCCCCACCCTCAAGGAAAGGGATTCAGGAAAGGGCTTCACTGCCCACATGGCTAAAGAACCGGAGACAAATCCTACTTTGGGTTTACAGAGCCATTAGCTCCCCACTGTCTACACCTGTTAGACTGTGCTTAAGGTGAACTAGAGAACTAGGTGAACTAGCAGAACAATGTTAGTACCTTTTGGGTTTGCCGTAACGGGAGCTGAGATGATCAGTATTATATTCCTGATAAGCACTCTGTCAAGAGCTGAAAGGTATTAAAAAAGATTACCAGCTTTCTGCTCTAGGCCAGCTGTGCATGTTCAACACTCACAGCTTTAGTACTGCTGACAATGCAGGAAGCAAACATCACTTACATGTGGAGCATCTCATACATCTTGGGTAACTGTAGACTGTGTGACCTGGATCAGTTCACTCCTACTGGAAAGCATGGACAAAATACACCTCTGCAGAAATTGCAAATTCTGTCTTTTGATCGAAAAGAATGTCTGTGACAGATTTTGCATTTTAAAAGATTTAAGAAAATTTTCATTCGTTCTGCGGGAATGCAAATCTTTCCATCATATTAATGTATGAGTTTGCCCAACATCTGTGGTCTCAGATTTCCCTTCCTGTTCCCCTTATAGAATGTCAATCTGTTTGATTTGGCAGTCATACTAGTCACCTCAGAAGTCATTCTAAGGCAACTGGTTGGTTATGGAAAACATAAGGAAAAGTAAAAACAGCAAACAAGAGCCTGGAAGGGAACATGTTTACTACCTCGGGGATCTTTCATTTTATATAAATAAGCAAGGCAATTTAGATTCACTGAATGTGAGAATCCAAGCTTCGCTCTAATTTGCAGATGTTACTTCATGCAGAAAAGCAAACATGTTTAAGTGGATAATTCTTTTTATTTCACAATTAAGTCATAAATTTATAAATGGCATGAATTTGCCTCTAATTTAAGCAGTCTTCCCTATTGCAAATTCATTTTCCATAACACAGATGTTTGAGTTTCTGAAAAGTTTGGCAATGAAAAGCTGTATTATCAGTGTTGAACTTCAGCTACTCAAATTCTTCGGCATTTGTTATAGCTTTCTTCTGTGAAAAATCCAGGAGTAAAATAGTGGAACTTATTTATAAACCATCCAAGCTGCTATCAGTTGGATGGTGCTAAACTATGCCTTTCATTTCTGTGCACTATGCTTTCTAGTCCTCTTAAAGATTATTGCCTCAGCTTCCTGCATTCTTGTCATGCAAACTACACATCTCAAAACCTACTGCAGAAACTCAAAGCCCTACTGTGCAACAAAAAACATAGATAGAAAATTAAAGTTCATCATTTTGGGGCTAAGCTCAGGTTTTGCTGAACATTAGGGACCACTATTGCTTGCCCAATTACCAAGGAAGTTAAATGCCAAGTCTGTGTTTGTGGCTCCTGTTCGCAGCACTCCTGAAATGCAAGTTAAAAGGCAAACAGAAACCAGGCACAGTCATCTCTCAATATCGTGCAAAATCTTCCCTCAGCAGGTTCTTTCCACTAAAACTAAATGTGCCCCCCACATACCTCCCAGCCACAGCTAAATCAGCTCACAAACAGCATTACTAACACACACTTCTTCTGCCCATGCTGACCTCACAGCAAACCCAAGTAAAATAATAAGGAATTTCAAAGGAACAGAGATATCAGTTACAAATTAAACAGACACTTCTCAATTTTACCTGGTGTGATAGTCTCTGTGAGTGCTGAATAATCAAATGCAATTCTCTTTCCAGAATACATTTAAGCTGTTCTAAACATGAATTCTCATAGCTGAATAATGGACAAACTTTAATAATTTCCTGTGATACTGTTTTGGAGGAAATACCAAAAGACCAGTAGAAACATCTCCCATCTGCAAGCTAAATCTGAGCAGCGTCAGTGCAGCTTTGATGAAAAGCCTGAGAGCTTGTTAGCACATTCTCAGCTGTGAGCATTCCAATTACGACAGGGAAGATTAATATCATCGACTTCAGTCACCTGAAAGTTAGTTGACTACTTTAAAAAAAGTAACTTTAAGCCCTATATGTATCAAGGGAATGAATGAGGTATCTCCAGAGGGTAATTCATCTCATCTGGTGGTTTAGACAAGATGAATCTCTCCCTGCAGACACTTGATTCATTTCGCTGACTACAAAACTCAGAGTTTAAACTTAGACAACTTCCAACATTATAAGTCAAGTAGAATGGAGATTGTATAAAATATCTAGTATCTGAACTCTGTTGTCAGACATCTACATAGGCATTTTCACTGGGAATATACGTCCAGAAACACCTAGAAAAGCAAATCCCACAATGGCAGGCAGGTTCTGGGTGCAGGTTTTTCAAATCAAGCACAGTCAGTAGTTAATAGTAACTGAAGCCATTATATAGTGCTATACGATACATATGAGCCTTCAGTAAAAAAGCATAATTTGCAAAATTCTGCCAATTGACTCTTTATATTTCATGTCTTAGACACTGCAAAATGAGCAAACAAATTTCCAAGGAGAGGATTTGTTGACAAGGCTGCAGTAGCTAGAAAAACTAAACAAAGCACAAACTCTACACAGAGCACACAATTTATTTGTAGTTTTAATATTTTAAATGTATTATTCATTTTAGTATTATCATGTTTGGAATTCTTCATATACAAGGTAAGACAAGGTAATTCTCCAGTGTTCTTATACAGCAAGTGCCAAAAGTACTGACAGTGTAAGTATATGCCATGAGAGAGGGAATGAGTATGTAACAAAACAAGAGCACAGAGGTGTTATGGAAAAAGTCAGGGACTTGGCTCATGAATACCTTGGACCGATAAGTTGCTAACTTCTCATGTTAAGTTAACTGACATTACCATTTCTGTTAAAAGGTTGACCACCCCCTCCAGCCGTTTTGTCACTGAGACCTGACAGGAACTGAAAATTCAATTTCTGACAGCAACAGTTTGGGGCTCTCTTGGGAAACATTTTTCTCTTATCCCTGTGTATAAAATGGAGACAATGGCTAGGACTCAGCTTGATGTTAAGAAAGATATTAGTGCAAATACGCTGCTTTCAGCTATTCAAAACATCTGCATATGGCTGGTAAATATGACACAATGCTTGAATAAGAAGTTGCTTCTACAGTGGCAACAAGAGAACAGAGGAAATATCCCACAGGGCCTAAATGACACTAGGGATCTACATAGATGTAATGAATCCTTCCAAAAGGTAAGTGCATACAAGCATGCGCCTTCCTTAAGCTCTCATTACAGCCAACAGAAATCTAATCAGCATAATCAAAGGAGCCTAGAAAGCATCATCTAGCTGAGTAGATACTGACATCTTGATTTAGCTGCCCATAAGCAGACACATTATTTCATATGTCACAAGGTATTTAAGAGTCATGACTGCCAAACATGATATAGGACTTGGGGAAGACCAGTGTCATCCTGGATAAGTGGTTGTAGGCCATCAGGGTAGCTCTTTGGTATCTCAAATAGCACTAAATATCTGTGTGAACACCCCTCATGGTTACCTGAAGCTTGTTCTGGGCTCCACTGACTGTTGACTAGATGCTCATTTTGGTGGCCTAAACATCTAAAGGTGTTCCATGTGACTTGCAAAAATGTTAAGGCCTCCCTTGGTCTTTTCATAATATTTACTGGATCCATGCAGATATTCTGGATACTTCACAGCATCTCAAATGGCTCTCCTTTATTTAGGTATCAAGCCGTAGCTCTCCATTGACTACAGAGGCACCTTAGACATCTAGTATACCCTACAGGTACTGACACAGAGGTGACTTATTTAGGTACATTAATCTCAGACTGAATCCCATGTAAGGTTCCTTATCTAATACTTAAAATTAACTAACTCAAATACTGCTAGAACAGGAAAAAACCCAGCATGAAATGCTCAGGGACTTTCAGTTGAGGGCATTATTCAAGAACACTATGCTGTTGCTAGTGAGAAGAATAATTGTACTTGTGTCATGGCAGCCAATCCTATCAGTTTCAGTTGCAGACCAGTGTAAATGTCTCTTCCTCAGGCAACAGTGCATTGCTCCATTTCTAAAAACTGAGTAACACTGTTTTGCTACTTTGCACCATCATAGCTATTAGGTACTGTTTTACCAGAAGCGAGTCTCCGTTTCATTCTGTGATACATATAGCCAAAAAAAAGGGCAAACCTCTGCCCTAGGAACTTACAACATGAGAGGAGATAGCAGATGGAGGCTGGCTGCAATACAGGAAGCACAGTGAAAATATGACACAGCTTTACGACGTCAAGTGCTCTCTGTCTACCAGCAATCTGTTAAATTCTGTAAAAGTGTTATTTCTATGAGAAACGGATCTAAAAGCTTTTTCCTTACTTTAAAGGAAACTTTTAAAAACCTACGTCAGAAACACGGTTAAACAGATGTTTAGTTGTTGGGTTTTTTTGATTGTATATTGTACCTAGACTGTACCAGAAAACCCACTAATCTTGACACGATTTCCCACTCTAGAATAAAGGGAATTCAGAATAAAGGGACTTCTAGAATAAAAGCAAATTCATGAATTCTAATGGGGGGGAGGGGAAGGAGAGGAAAAGAGAGAAGGGAGGGGTTCAGTTTCCTCTGTGCTTTTTCATTGGACAGACACTATATTAAAAGATGGTGACCTCTGTAAGGAAAGAGTTAATCATGTGATATCCAAATACTGAGAGGATGTGACGTGGAGAAAATGGAGAGGAAAATCTGTGCAAACTAATTGTCAGAGATTTAAAGTTTTCCTGAAAAAAAAAGCAGTATGATAACAATCATATTGTGAAGAAGACCAAAATTTAAGGGCTATTTTTCCTACCTAAATATGTGACTCCTTATTTCCCATAGCTATCATTTGAGAACCTAGGAAAATGTTTTTTCTCAAATCTAACATTTGC